CACTGGATAGCAGATACTCACCGACTATGAATGTCTCCCCTTCCTGAAAGATATAATTGTGTAGATGCAAAATGTTAGATGGAAAATATATGATAAACGAATTGCTCGTATACTTGCATACCTTTGAAGTAGACATAAATAACTTGAAATTTGTAGAACGATATGTAACTGTCAGCTAAGTAACACTGGTGTCATGAAGTCCTTGTTGGGATGGTAAGACTAGTGGTTAAAGTGTCTCCCGCTGGGATATTGTTGGGATATTGCTAAAAGTGGCGTAAACATCCTCACTCACTCACTGAAAGCTAAAGGCCATCAAATATGTAAATGTGTGCACACTATTGATTCATATCTCAAATGCCGTTCAAGCGTCTTGCCTGTTATAAAAGAGAAATTATTCATATTTCTCAGGCTGTTTCAGCTTCTTTAGGGTTATATAAAAGAAATTATTCATATTTCTCAGGCTGTTTCAGCAACTTTAGGGTTATATAAAAGAAATTATTCATATTTCTCAGGCTGTTCAAGTCCATCTTGACAGTTAAATAAGAGAAGTGAAATGAGTCTATGTTGGACTGAAACACACAGAGAAAAGGACATGTCAAGTAGATACCACCATAGTTTTAAGTAATTTACATCTAACTTCTCATGTAAGCTTATGACATAGATATTCAATTGTTACTCTATTTACGGGTGTGAAAGGGTTTGCATATGATCTCAATAATAGTGTCACTTAAGGGTATAAACTCTTCACACCGAACACCCGGGTTCGATTCCCCACATTGGTACAATGTCTGAAGCCCATTTCGGGTGTCCCCCGTCGTGATATTGCTCATATTCACTCACTATAAACTCTTCCTTAAAGGCTGGTCTCAGATTCAATTTCCCCACATTTACTTCCTGAATGAATACTAATAGACACCATCAAGAACATCTTTACATTTAAACAAAATCCACCACATGGACGTGAAAAAGATGACATAGGGAAGATCTATTAGTAGTATAAATAAGACAAAATGATCATTTGAAAATGTATAACATGTCAATATAAAGTGAAATGCTTGCCAGATAACGTTTTACTCAGTAACAGGGTGAAAATGGACATCAGATGCTACATACCAAAGTATTATTTATGTTTTACAGTTATAGTAAAGACATTACATCTAAAAGCATATTAGTATTGCTTAACGTTTGTATAGGTGTATATATACTGACCAGCAATAAAAACGCAACTCAGAATTCATGAAAATTGTACTTTTTCAGCATGAGTTTGGATTTGATACTTTAACACAAGTATGATGTGGTGATGATAAAGCATTCACCATGCAGGATGGTGTTCAAATCATTAGGGAGAAACAAGCAAGGATGAAATGCATGACACACGTGCAGAGTGTGTACGTAGGGATACAAATGCAGGCAGTGTCGTAATGCTGTCATTTCACCGCAACATGCCACGTGTAAGTGAAATGGAGAGACACCAAGCAATAGGCATGCTGAATGCTGGAGTTTGACAAGTTTGCGTAGACCGACATTTTCAGGTGCACCCTTCGACAATAACTCGTCTGCAGCAACGGGTAGTGGCAACTGTCAGCGTTTCTGATCGCCCCCGTTCCGGTACACCCCCGTGTGACGTCACAAAGACAGGACCGGATAATCCAACTTCAGCACCTCCGGAACCGTCTGTAGGCGGCAGTAAGCACTGCTAATGCCGTGATTGGGTCAATGGGCGCCCTATCAGCGAAAGGACTGTGCTTTGACGACTCCTAGCGGCAGGCTTACATTGCCGTCGCCCTTACCGTGGACCCATCCTCACCAACAGACATCGACTGGAACGGCGCCGTTGGGTGACAAATCGAGGTCACCATTGTTAAGCCAATTCTGTTATACGGCTGCGAAATATGGGGTTTTGAAAACTGTAAATCTCTAGAATCCGTTCTTGTAAACTTTTTACGGAAATTCATTCCCGTTAAGAGAAGCACGCCAATATAATGCTATATGGAGAACTTGGAACGGTACCCCTAAAAAACTATATCAAAAGTCGCATGGTATATTTCTGGGCTAGACTCCTATATGGTAAAGAACAAAAGCTGTCAACAATTGTATACCAAATGTTATATAATGAAGCCTGCATAAACAATAGCAACAAAAAATAGATCAAATCCGTGGAAGCTGTTTTTAATGAAACAGGCTACAGCATCTGCTGGGTAAGTCAACCAGCTGTCTTTCTCAATGAAATTAAAACTATTATCTCCTTAGGCTTAGATGATAAAGCAACCCAAACATGGCGCGCAGAGATTTCGGATTCGTCTAAGGGCACCATGTATCGCGTATTCAAATCTGAACTTGTCTTTGAAAATATCTCACATATATCCCTTTCTCCTTGGCTCTTAAATTTCTCTTGTTTAGAACTTCCTGCATATAGAAGTAAATTCCACTCGAAGAAAGAATGTGTAACCTCTGCTACACGTGTGATGTTGGCGATGAATTTCACTTCATTTTTCTCTGCCCTCTCTTCAAACATAATAGGAAAACCTATATCCCAAACCAGTATGTTGAAAAACCCAATGTTTTAAGATTTAACGAATTGTTAAACTGTAAACGAATTAGTGTTTTAAAAAAACTGTGTATATTTTGTAGTACTGTCATGAAAACTGTATAATCTTCCTTGTAAACCATCTCGCCATCCTATGTATTCTCAACTGTATATTTATTTGTACCTATTATGTACCCCAGCCTGAGCGTAGTAAATGTTCTGTTCTGTACTGTTCTGGACAACGAAGGTGGGATGATGTCATCTTTTCAGACGAATCGAGATTCAGTGTGAGTTTTGATTTCTTGAATTGCGTTTCTTTTGCTGGTCAGTATTGGTATATCTCAGTTGTGGGGGTACAACGTATTCTGAAGTAACCATCCAACCCCGCCCAGTTCACCCAAAGCGTTGTTCCACACTGTCATATATAATTCAGTACATGTGTATATATATAGGAAGGGACGGTGGGGTACACCAGTGGTTAAATAGTCCGCTCGTCACGCCGAAGACTCGGGTTCGATGCCGCACTTGGGTACAATGTGGGAAGCCAATTTCTGGTGTTCCCCGCCGTGATATTACGGAAATATTGCTAAATGCGGCGTAAAAACATCCTCACTCACATACAAGAACATGTCTATCTTTCTTATGCACTATCAGCGTGTGACTGTTCATTTGAAAGCATTGGCCTTCCTATTCTATGGAGCCAACTATTTCCGGGTGTCGATACACTGAACACACACACATCGATTGCGTGATGTAAACATGAGCATGTAGTTAATATATGAACCGCAACACGCTATTAAGTGAGATCAGTGTTTGTTATTGCTGAACGAAAGTGCGAAGAAGTGCTTCTGAGAGAGACAACTTTACGTGACCCTCGGGTTATCGTCATTCACTCTCACATCACACCGTATTACCTCCACGTCTCTGTTTTCTACAAACAACTACGATGACTACAACGGCGATGACCACGATCAGGACGGAACAGACAGCAGCCACGGGGACGATGGAAACGACATCAGATTCAGTAACGCCACGTGCTGAAACATTTAATATGGACAATATTCAGTTCAGTATGCATACGAGTATAATCATGTAACATCAAGCCTCTTCGGTAAGTTTTAACCCGATTCAAAACATATTAAATTGGTTGACACATGCGATGTTCATTTGAAATAACCTTTCCGTGCCACGCTTTGTAAGTGATTGATGAGGTACGCTGTACATCCCCAACAACAACGTCATTGTCCACGTCAGCTCCACAGGAGGACATGCAACGTCGGTAACATCAGCGTTCTCATTTGTGCAGGGTGAAGAAACGGAAATATCTAACGAAAAGGGTCAAATTATATTCCTTATATAAATAGAGTTTCAGGGGCACTGTATTCTGTAGGGCTGGGTTTCTAATTGATTTTTTCGAATTAACGGAAACATTTTGGATTTTGGGAGAATCTGAAAGTTAAGAACCATTGGAGTGATAATGCCATCAGATCATAGTGAAAATTCAATTCTTCATCAATATTAAGGTTTCAAATGGTTAATTATTTTTAATCTTTAAGTGCTATCTAAAGGGTCTTTGGTTGTGTTAAATCTTTGGGTGCCATTACTATCCGTGTTCTAGCAGGTGTTCCAGCAGGATCAGGTTTACGAAAAGGGGGCCGTCCCAACAGGCGTCATCCCCCAAAATAGGTTGTATAAAACAGATTCTATTGCTGAAGTGTTGACTTACAGAAGACCTCCAGCGTCAGGTTCCGTGATGCACTACCATGGCTGTTGTTGACGTGACACGTGTACAGTCCAGACACAGATACATCTACAGCTGGTATAGACAACACAGCCACCCTCTGTCCTGTAATCACCGTCTGTCTGGAGATGTTCCACCAGGTTACAGTACAGGCAGGGATACAGTCAGCAGAACATCTCACAGCTGCAGGTTTCCCTTCTTCTAATTCTACCTCCAGCTTGTCACGTGTGCCGTCAAATTGTATCTGGTCAGGTCCATCTGCAATGCATGTGAGATGGTCAGCTGAGAAGCTATTCTGAGATATAAGTGCAGTTTGCTTCAGTGAATGAAGACATGTTGTTTGGTTTGGCCTGTGGTCTTGGGATTCACAAAATGGTAAACGTCTCAGACCCATATCAGCTTATGCTTTCCTCCCACAATAAGTACATTCTACAACTGGAACACTCACTCACCCACTCTGTTGCTATGTACAACTCTTGGCAACATATTCAGGTGACCTTACAGTGCCGTGAAAATGGAAGCATTTTCGACTCTAAAACTTTGAATGGATCACTAAATCAGACCTGCCTATATTTCCTATTCGAACTTTCACAATAATCATTTCTATTCTGTTTACACAGAGCACATTCCTTTAGCAAAGAAGGTTGTGACAAAATTATCACTCAGAAGCACAGTTACAAAGATAAGATACACGAGAATCTTATACCGTAAACAAAGTAAGTTCTTACTCACAGAGAACATCCAGTACATGTCCGTGACTCCAGTCAGACTTCAGGCCCTCCTCCACGGTCTGGCAGCTGTAGATGTCTCCCTGGTTCTCTCTGCTGATGTGGGTTATTGTCAGGTCATCTCCACCTGTAGGAGACTCATCACCAGATTCTAGCAGAGTCCTGTTCCTCCTCCAGATGTAGGTCATGGTCAGTGGGGGATGGTCCAGGGGTAGACTCCGGGACGAGGAGGAGCATGTCAGGGTGACATTCTCAACTGATACAGGTGAGGGAGGTCCGGTGATGGTAGGTGTGGTTGGCTCCTCTGTGAACAAATATAACAAATGTGCTCAGACCGTAACACGAGTGCCATTGAACAAGATTTTGCTGAAAGATTTCATACTTGTATTTATATACTATTCATCATTATTATCTATCAAATGTTAAATAGTTAGTGCGTTCACTCGTCACTTGGAAGACCAGGGTTCGATTCCCCACATGGGAACAATGAGTGAAGCCCATTTCTGATGTCACCTGTCATGATATTGCTGGAATATTGCTAAATAACTCACTCACTCACTCAGTGTTCCACAGTCAGTGTTCCACAGTTACAGCAGGGAATCCATGTTGGCTGGATCCTAATACTCCTAACCGTTTTGTTGATTGAATATGATAGTTACCACACAACTACTGGCTGCCTCTACTGACACGAGTTTAATGTTTTTTTCCGGAGAGAGGAGGGTCGACGGTGTCACTACCAGGTACGTTGTAGCAAGTGGCGTTAAAAGATGCAAGACTGATCGACGCGGATACACTCATCCATGTTAAACTGCGACATTGCTTCTGTGTCGGTGAACAAGCATAGTTCATATACACACACACATGCATACACCACACAAACATACATACACAGACATGCATACAACACACACACATGCATACACCACACACATATGCATACAACACACACATGCATACAAAACACATACACACACATGCATACAACACACACACATACACAGACATGCATACATCACACACATTGATACAACACACACATGCATACAACACACACACATGCATACAACACACACATGCATACAAAACACACACATGCATACACACCTACACACACATACACACATGCATACACACAAACACGTACGCATGCTCGGACACTCACATATACCTCGATCCATATATACAATAATCTAAACCCCAATTTCACCTCACCTAAAATTCTTCTACTGCAATACAAGATTGAACAGCTATTTATTTATGTTGGAGATACATTAAGACAGTCCAACTTTATTCTTCAAATAATATCCCATATACTACTTACGTGCTACAACAAGGACCTGTCTACATCCAGTAACTGTCTGTCCATTGGTTCTTTGACAGTAGTAAGTACCAGCGTCCTGTACAGTAACATTGTAGATGGTAAATCTCAGCTGTCCTGTCTGTGATAGTGAGTCCTCCCCGGTGTAACTGATCCTGGTGCCGTAGCCGGTGTGACTACTGTTGAGTACCACTACACGGTGTGACCTAGGCAGGACCAGTAACAGTCTCTCAGCTACCAAACCATTCACCCATACTAAATATTGGAAGCTGACATTCGCTTGGTTCATGGTTATGTTAACACCGTCGCCAACACGTGTAACAGTGTGTGGGTATCCAGTTGTCATGGAGGCAAGACCTGCACTCAAAACAAGTATTCGTCATTGAAACAAGGTTAACAGTTGACAGAATAATTCAAGCACATCATTGAAGTCAGCTCAATATAATCCTAGTTGACAGATACATACCACACACATAAAGGCCCCCAAAACAAAGAGACAAGATCATGTAAGGAGGAAGTATTTTCTGTCGGCTGACTGACACAGTTTTGCGTTTTTAATGTAAACGTTTCGGAAAATGTAAATTACATTCTTTTTAGAGGAGTCCATAAAGTGATATCGATGGACCCGATCGGTTATATTCTTAATATATTTTCTATTTATTTTTTTTCTCACATTGTTGTAATGTTTCTATGTAATTGTTTATTATGATTGTTTACACTGTATAATATGTATATATACCTTACACAGTGCGTCATATACATGTATGCACTATACTTACATATCATACACATTACTAACATGTGGTCTTCACTACGCTGAACATACTAACATATCATATACTAACATGTGATCTACACTACGCTGAACATACTAACATATCATATACTAACAAGTAATCTACACTACGCTGAACATACTTACATATCTTATACTAACATGTGATCTACACTACGCTGAACATACTAACATATCATATACTAACATGTGGTCTACACTACGGTGAGCATACTAACTTATCATATACTAACATGTGATCTACACTTCGCTGAACATACTAACATATCATATACTAACATGTGATCTACACTACGCTGAACATACTAACATATCATATACTAACATGAGGTCTACACTACGCTGAACATACTAACATATCACATACTAACATGTGATCTCACCTGAGGTAAGTGTGTTTGTTCAAAATTGCCGAAACTGGGTACAGCAGAAACTGGTTACCCGGTGAGATAAGTCATGTGACTATTAACCTTCTAGCGCCTTACAGGCAGCTTCGGTTATCCAGGGTATTAACAATCAGATTGTGATTCAGCTTCCAGCGAGCAACTAGACAGATTGATACTAGGCACTATATGAAGAAAAAAAACATATTAAAAACTGGCGTGATAAGTTCATACTGACCTGCACGCAAACATATTACCAGTCATCATTACGTATGCTTACTGACAGAATATCCCGTATTACTTAAGAAAACAGTCCCAAGGATGGCTATATAGAATGTCAATTCGAAGACAAATACATACCACACACATGAAATAATCCGGTCACAGTGTAAAACAGAAACATAGCCAGCAGCTGGTTAACACTGACAGATCTGAGCTGTTGATGTTCGTGTAGTTTCACTTGACACTATTTCCCTGTCACATGAACCATGTCCTTGCTTGTTGAAACAGTAGTGAATACGCCGTGTCGTTGCTATTGGGCAGCTGAATATTGAATACTATGTTGTCATGAATTTACTTGGCACTGCTGGGTCTTTGTACTCTTTGAATCATGTCCCTGCTTGTTGAAACACTAGTGTCGTTATCATTGGGCAGTCGAACATTGAATACTATGTTGTCATGCGCGCTGGGTCTGTCTGCTCTGTGGTAGCCAAGTGGTTAAAGCGTCCGCTCGTCACGCCGAAGACCCCGGGTTCGATTCCCTCCATGGGTACAATGTGTGAACAACAATTCTGGTAACCACCGCCATGAAATTGCTGGAATGTGGCGAAAAGTGGCTTAAAAAGATATTCACTCACTCAATCACTCAATCACTCTCATATGTACCCGTATTTACTCTTTTGCACTGCACATCAAGATGTAACCGTTATTATTGAGATCACACAAAGTTTTCTTTCTTTAACGTCGCCCTTTGCAATATTCCAGCCATTCCAGTCTGTAAATGATCAGACAATCATGTGATCAACGGCACCCTTGAAGAGCAACCTCCGTGTGGACTCTGGGTCGAATAGGTCCACAGCACCCCATTGCTGGTTGTAAGAGGCGACCAAATTGGGCAACCCGTTTGCCTTGGGTTGCACCCCTGTGTCGGCAGAGGAAGGGAGTCTGGTTTTTGAGGATGACGGAACCGGCAATAGTGTTCAATAATCCAACACACCACTTCGACCCTAACTTTGCCTAGACGGGTGGTAGAATAGGCCCGATTCTACCAATCGGTTAGTCACGCCTTGCCCTGTGCATGGAATGTCTATACAAAATTTGGTAATACATAACACTTTTGGCCATGTTTAAAATGTTAACTGATATTCTACCAAAACAAATTAGCCTCGCAGACCCATGCACAGAAGGCGGTGGCTCATGGGCCAATCTGGTGATGCTGACCTCCGATTTCTGTACGTCTCCAATTGATTGTCATGGACAGAACCATCCTGACCTTTAATCTGGTAGGCAGCTACAGCATTTCATGTCAAATTCGCTGGAGTATAACACCCCCTTATCCCCGGTCTTTGCAGCTTTGAGATCCCCTGCAATATAAGATCGTCCTTGTTGACACTCCACGGTGGGTGGGGAGAGGGGATGCCGAACCACATTACTTACGACATGGCTTCCCAATAAAACGAAGACACATGGATTCTGACAACTCCTCGTCTGACGAGAGTACGCCCTTCCGACCTGACTACTGGCCATGCTTCCTGATCATTGAAGCTTGTGACAAGCAACCTTTGCAATTGAACCCATTTGCAATCTCCAAAGGTATCGCTGGTATCTGCGGAGAGGTTGCCAATGTTACAAAGCTCCGATCTGGTTCTCTCCTGATAGAATGTACTCGGAAACAACAATCCTTGAATCTCCTCAAAATACAAGAATTTGTCAACATACAGGTCGCTGTCTCAGCGCATAAAACACTGAACTCGTGTAGAGGCATTATACGGGACAGAGCTCGATGCCTGTCTGACATGACTGAAGAATAAATTGTCGAGGAACTCTCTCAGCAGTCCGTCACAGCCGTAAAACGATTCACTTACAAAATGGACGGTGTTGTTCAACCAACAAACACCAATCTCTTTATGTTCGCGCGAGCAAAGATTCCTGACTCGATTAGAGCTGGTTATTGTAGCATTGGTGTGGAGGTGTATGTACCCAATCCACTCCGGTGCTACATCTGCCAAAAGTTTGGACATGGATCCAAGTCCTGTCGTTCCTCTGCTATTTGTTACCGCTGTGGTGACAAGCATGAGGGCAACGCATGTACTAAGGAAGTGAAGTGCACAAACTGCGGTGGTAACCATATGGCCTCTTCCAAGTTTTGTCCAGTGTGGCAACGCGAATCCGAGATCCTAAAGATCAAGCACAAAGAAAATGTCTCCTTTCATGAAGCTAAGAAGAGGGTTGCAAGTTTAACTGCAGCCCCTTCAACCATCACCTACTCTTCTGCTGTCTCCCGTCCTTCTATCACAACTGCAACTATCTCATGTCAGACCGACCTGACATGGGTCATGTCTTCTCAGCCAACTCAACTCAACAGAACTCAGCCCATCCCAGCCACTCCATCTCTAAAGCCAAAAGTCAAAACTTCTGAATCACAAACACCAGAACAAATACCAAAACCAGAAACAGAAACTGCGCACAAAAAAGGGGAAAAAGAGTCTAGAGAGACTAAAGCAGCTTGAGCAACTGCCAAACACAAAACCAAAGGCCACCTCTCCTTCAGAGGTCCCCGTCGAGGTCCATAACTCCTTTGGCCCTCTGGATATGGAGGTAACTCCATCTCCACCTGACACCAATAGGAGTTCACGTGACATGTCACCGGTGGAAGCACCATGAATCCACTAAACATGATTCAGTGGAATTGCAGAGGACTTCAGCATAATTATAATGAATTACAGTTATTGATTCAAGACTTCAAACCATCCGCGTTTTGTCTCCAAGAAACCTACCTAAAAAGGACTGATAAATTTGACATCCGTCGGTACAGTTCCTACCACTCCTTTTCTCCTCCCGGTGTTAAAGCTACAGGAGGCACTTCTATCCTGGTGAGGCAGGGCATCCTCCATAGCCCTGTTCCACTTAACACCAACCTACAAACTGTTGCTGTCAGCATGACTCTGAAGATAGGGTTTACACTATGTTCACTCTATCTTCCTCCCTCCTCAACTGTCCACCTATCAGATATTCAGAACTTGTATAATCAACTCCCAAAGCCCTGCATAATCATGGGCGACCTGAACGGCCATAACCCTCTATGGGGGAGTACTGAAACAAATAATAAGGGAAAGGTCCTTGAAGATTTTCTCTCCAATAATGATCTATGCATCTTCAACGATGGATCAAGCACCTATTTCCATCCTGCCACTGGAACATACTCTGCACTTGATCTATCTCTTAGGGGATTCTAATACTAAGGCCAATTGGCCATTATTCCAAACTCTCTGCTCTGAAAAGCTTTTCCCGGACAACATCAGGAATGTTCCTGATCCCATGGAACTATTTTCTGATATCTTAAATACTATTGAAGACGAAACCATTCCTAAGTCCTCTGCAAACCCGCACATACGCAAATCATGGTTTGATACAAACTGCAAACAAGCTAGG